GTTGTGACGCTGTATGTGGGGGCGTGGTCAGAGCGGGGAAATGGCGGCGCCCTCTATCGCTGCAGCGGCCGGTCCAACCGCCCACTCCCTGGCTCGCGCGCAATTAGGCAACCGCAGTCAACTCGCTGCACCACCTCCCCACTGTCTCCTCTGCAGTCGCTCACCCGGTGGGTTGCTCGGTCACCCACTAGGTCCAATCCTGGGTTTGGAACCCGTGCGTCTGGATTCGCGCGTCTGGATTCCGCGCCCGGGTCCGACCGAGCTCTCCTTTGCAACTCCTCACCAGACGCTGGTTTCGCCCCTTACCGGTCGGACTGAAGAATTTGTTGTTAGCGGACTTCCGAAAAGTTCAGTTTTCCGTGTTCTGGTTGTGTTTTCTGATGCTAATATTTAGTTGTCCCTAAACTTGGTTGTGTGAGGAGGCACCATCCACCTAAACCTCCATCTTGGCGGAAGTCCGCTCCCTGACTATTTACTGGGCCTCATGTTTTATCCTACTCCTGATGAAACCTTCCTTATACGCATTCTAGCCACCCTAATTTCCATTTTGTTTTTTAAACATGCTATGCATTGTTTTCTGTCAGGGCCTTTGCACTTGCTATTTCCTGTGCCTGAAATGAATTTTCTCCAGGATTTCTATACGCTTACTGTCTTGCTTCATTCAGATCTTCGATCAAATATTCCCTCATCAGAGAGGCCTTCCCTGACCATCCAGGATATAAGGAATCCTATCATGATTCTACATTTTGTGTGCCTTTATCCACTTTTATTTTTCCTCATATTATTTATCACTACCTGGTATCAAATTCATCAAATCTACTAGCATATTAGCTCCATGGGAGCATAGTATTTGTGGGGTTTTTTTGTTTATTACTGCAGACATATATATCACTGAGCGCAGTGCCTGGCATGTACACAGTAGGTGTTTAATACGTGTTGGTTGAATAAATGAATAGAAAGGGCATGATGACGTGTCAGTTGGTATAGATTTGGCAGTTTGCAGCAAAAGCCTTAAAAATGCTCCTACCATTTGACCCAGTAATTCTACTTCTGGGATTTTGTCCTAAAGAAATAATGTGAAATGCAGAAATAGCTTTATTTGCAAAGATTTTCATCAAGCATTATTTGTAATGGAGGGAAAAATGAAAGAAACTGAATGTTCAACCAGGGGATTGTTAAGTAATTTATGGTGCATCTAGACAATGTAGTATTTTATGGCCATTAAAGAGGATACTTACAAACATTGTATGATAGAAGGAAAATGTTTATGTTATACTATCAAGTGATGAGACAGGATACAAAATTATATATTTCCAATATGTAAGAAAGAAAAAAAGACTGGAAAAAAGATGCACAGAAGTGCTAAAATAATTATCTCAGTGGGTAATAGGTGATTTTTTCCCCTTTATACCTTCCGTGTTTTCCAGATTTTCATTAAGTCTGTATAACTTTTATTATGGAAAAATACATTTGCAAAACAAACAAGGAGAACAAAAAACCCCGCAAAAATATTACCACTTTAGAAGTGTGGATTATGTAATAAATAACAAGGAGGATAAACCTATTGTTCTTGAATGATGGTGCTGGAAGGAAAGGAATTTAACAGTTGTAACTGGAGCCAACTGGTTTTCTGGCTGAAGAAGTAAGTTTACAGACAGGGAAAATAATTGAGATCCACTGAATCAATCCAGTCTTCACTCAGTGGAGAACCTAGGAAGGCCGAGTTTATCCTGGCAGGATTTAAATAGGATGTTCAGGGGAGATTAGGTAACTTAAGGTTTCTTCATATGGAAAGCACTAGCAATTTGCATCATGTAAAACAGAAGTGATTACTCACTATATTCCTTCACATCATGTAGTAAAAACAATTAAGTGAAGTTAAACTATAGATTACTTGGCTATTCAGCCACAGTAACCTCTAATGGAAAAGAAGAAAAATAGCATTGACAAGTTTTGGCAGGTCTCATCATTAGAAATGCCCGTATTGCCAGACAAAAAAGAGCTGCAGCCAATAATGTGAACCTAGAAGTTCTTTAGGCCCTAAGGAAGAAAGTGACAATATCGAGTGTTGTAGCATTTATTGTCTGAGAGCACTGATCATTGTAATGGGGCAACTGTCTCCATTGTTAATGCAATTATTTTCTACAAGGTCTTTGAGTAAATAAATGTCCCATTAGAAGAATAGCATCAGAGATTTGAAAGCATGTTTAGCAAAATGTAAAGATATACTCATTAGTAAAACAAAGTGTGACTTATATGGAGCCCAAAGTCCCCTGAAAATAAAAATTGTGTTAATATAGGTGTTATAATTAGTGTATAATTGAGTAATTACTGAAACACATTTAAAAGCATCTCATTTTGTAAACAAGTAGAAATTATACTTTTTAAATCTATCTGAGAAAGATATTTATCATATACACATATATGCATATTCACATAATATGTATGTATTTTTGGACTGGACTTTTAGACCTTTCTTCCGCTCACCTTCAATTTACACATTTCATCTCCATAGCCAAGCTCAGATGCTAATTTCATTTGAGGAAGCTGAGAACTGAAGGATGTAGAATATTATTCTCTATGTAGGACCTAACAAGAGGCAGTAACACTAATGAAAGTCCAGGTTAAATGATCTCTTAACGTGCTGTTCAGATTTGGACTTAGGACTCTGCGTGTAGGCCCTAGCCTATCTCAAAAACCAATAGTCAGTTCTGTGAGATACATTTCAAACATTTGTGGCTTCTGCTGCTATTGCCTCTACTATGCATTATTTGGTTGCATTTGATGACGATTCTGTCTGACATTCTAACTTGTTTTTCTTAAAGGGTAGCTAGCCCACATGTAGTATTAAGATAGTCGACAGTTTCTCTTTTGACAATGAACTCTTGAGTCCAATAGAGGTAAAGGGTGAGGGAAGTGGTACATGTTTGGAACTGGTAAATAATGGCAAGTAACCTGGGGAATCATATATAGATCAATGTTTGATGAATTGGCTTTCTCTAATCATAAGTGGGAGATACACTTCTACTGGCTTTAGTCTGAGGGTATTTGAGAAGTGAACAGAGAAGAGCTATATCATTTTAAAGTCCTCTTCCCCATTTTTATGTATATCTCACCAAGGCAAAATGCTACATATAGGGCAGTTTGTTTTTTTAAAACATTTTTGCTAACCTCCTTGCAGAATTATCTTGATGGGTATGAAGCCAGTTTCTACAGACTCACTCTGGTCTGTGTGGCGGGAGAGTCAGAAATACTTTTTATAGTCTAGACCTAAGTACTTTCTGAAATGTTTTCCCTTGAAAGATTCTAACTTAACACTATTATGGGAGCACATAACATTTGAGCAGAACTATGGCTTTTGTGAGAAACATTAACAGTGATGAAAATGTACATCAGCAATTAGATTGCAACTAATCAAGAGCACCACTTCAGTCTATTATGAATGATTTATATATAGGGTATTGGATTGGAGATCATTAATAATAATATAATACTCTATCATCATTATGAGGTCACCTTGGTGATCTTTATCAAGGGTGGCAATGATGTTATTGACCCACATTTTTTAAAAAATCATATTTAGATATTACCTTGTCTTTTACAGTGGAGAAATTTTAAATTATTGCCTTTACTACTGAGATTTCATCTCAAATGTAAAAAAATGGGTTTGGGGATTACTTGATTGATAAATTGGGGCCATAAGGTTAATTAAGTGCCAATCATAAAGTATTGGAATGTTAAAGTTTTCCTTTTCCAAAAGAGAAAAAAAAAGTTTTCCTTTTCCTTTTTTTTTTAAAGATTTATTTATTTATCTTCAGAGGGGAAGGGAAGGAGAGAGAGAGAGAAACATCAATGTATGGTTGCCTTTCATGCATCCCCTGCTGGGAACTGGCCTGCAACCCCAGTATGTGCCCTGACTGGGAATCGAACCGCGATTGTCTGGTTCGCAGGCCCGAGCTCAATCCACTGAGCTACACCAGCCAGGACCCTTTTCCTTTTTCTTTTGCTTTACTTTACCATACTGCCTTTTCTAAAACAGGTTTTTGAAGAATTTAAAACATACAGCTTTTTAAATATAAGGGTAATACCTGCTCATTGTAGAAAAACTAGAAAATACAAATAATATGTTTTACATACATATATACCTTCGTCTAAGCAAGACTTACACTGTGATTACTTTTTTATTTATCAATATATTAATATTTTATGTCAAAATATATATCTAATCTATATACATATACCACACACAGATATACATACACACAAATTTAAAAAATATATGGCACAATACAAGTCAGAGAAGTGTATCTCTCAAGATGAGTGATTAGCGGGGATCATTACAGGGCCCAGTTCCTGCCTTATTGCCCAAGGGTGGCATATGGAGACATATAGGTAATTTCTGACTGTTAAATGAAAGAAGTTACGTGAGACATTAGAAACACAACTGAACTAAAGTGAGGGGACATGGATTTTAGTCCTGGCTTTACCAGTATCCATGTACGTGTGTTTGTGTAAAGCCATTTAACTTCTCTAGGCCTCAGTCTCCCAATCTTATAACAGGGTTGTTTTGAGGATTAAATGAAATGTATGTGTAAGGGACTACCTTAGTGAAGGAACTACAATTAGTGTAAATTGTTTACATTGGTGAAAAATTCCTGAAACTGTGGGCATTTCATTTCAAAATGAGTGAGATAATGAGTGAAAATTGAATAGTGTTAATTTGAGAGAATCTTTGTGGGTAAGCATTCCACAGGCCTCCAGGTATGCTCATCTATAGTTAAGGAATTCTCTGTTATCAACATAGTTAATGTAATGGTTTGCAGTTTCAAGGAGGCCGTTTAAGAAACTGACTGCTTTTATTCCTTGTAAATGATAAAATGAAGTCAACCGCCACCCTTACTCCCACCCCACATGTGTCTTTTCCTTTCTCTTATATAAGGACTGTTTTATATTTGCTTGTACATATATTTGAAGGATAATTTTTCCTAATTTATTTACAGGAATTACAAGGACAAACTTTATTCAGCTGTCTCCTTTTTGATTCCCACAACTTCTGCATCTATCAAGGTATGTGCATTCTACACAGAAATTTACTTTGGGAATTGAACACATACCTATATCATGTGAAAATAATGGAATGTTCCAGTGATATATTTTGTTATATTTATCGAGTGCCATGTCAATGAAATTGCACTGTTTTAAACTTTAAAAAACCTTCTTGACTATTATATATGCAAACCTGTGTCTGTACTGCATAACTGTTATTGTTAGTCTTTGCAAAACCAAATGTGGAGGTTGTGCTACATATTTGAATAATTCTGTGACCTTTTCCACATACAGCTACTCCTTGACTAATAAGAATATCTGCAAGATACAAGGGAACAGCAGTAGCCAATGAGGATTCTGGTGAAACCAAAGTTAATAGTTCTCATTGACTGAAAAATAAACATGGCATTTCTCCTGATCAGTTGAAAAATTATTTTCATTCAGATAATTTTATTGACAAAAAACATTTGCTTCCTGGAAGGAATGCTTACATTTTTAAGAAAAGTCTGAATATAAATTATCTGTATTGTCATGGTATTGCATTCATGTATTGATCCATATGATCAGTAAATATTTATTAAGCAGCTACTGAGTGCCTTTTCTTTTGCTCAGTGTACCAGTGTAGGTAGAATTAACCTGGAATAGTGAGAAAGGGATTGCTTTTATATTCAGCCCTCTGTTAGATGGAATATGTGAGAAACTATGGCAAGATGAGGGGAGATTTCAGATTACAGTTGACTCTTGAACAAAACAGGGGGTTAGGGCCGCAGACCTTGCCCTGCAAACAAAGATCCACATATAAATCTTGATACACCAATCTTACAATATATAGGACTTAAGTCAGAGCCTTGTGGTAGTGACCATATTTTATTAGTTATACTCTTTCTTTTTCCTTCAAGTTTACATTTCATTGAACATGAACCAAAACTAATTGGGGTTGATTGTGGAAAAATTCACTCATTTAAAAAATTTGTGTTGCTCCTGGGACACTACTGGCCAAAGCTGTGTGGCCCACAAGGCAAAAAATGGGATAATTAGAATATTTTTCCTGCTGTTTTGTTTCCATCATGGAATTTTTCCAGTTTGAATTTTGGATGGTGTTTTGTACTGTGTGATAAATTTATTAAAGATTATACATAAGTAACTGACATTTTAGTAAACCATAGATTGACCTTAAAAGAGTAGGCATGTATGTTTTGTTTCCCCCTAACTTAACTACAGCCTGCCTTCATCTGCACTTCCAACTGATCTGGATGCTTCATCTGCACTTTCAACTGATCTAGAGGCTTCATCTGCACTTTCAACTGATCTGGAGGAAAAACTATTTTCTCCCAACGTCTTGGACTCCATACTTGGGAAACTGCTGTTCAGAATGTGAAAATAGTTTTCCTATCTGTGGTTGGTTGAATTTGCAGATGCAAAACCAAAACCATGGATAGGAAGGGCTGACTGGATTTATTGAAAAAAAAAATCACCGGTGAGTGGACCCAGGTGGTTCAAATGCTCATTGTTCAAGGGTCACCTGTGATTGAAATCCTAAGTCACTTAAAGGACTCCCCTCATTGGTCTTCATTCTTAGAATTCCTTGGTAAATATGGAACAGAAAGCATTATATATATGGCAGTGCTACACACACCATTATTCAAATTAGATTCTCATTTCAACTTACAAACAAGTTAAAATGATGGTCTGAATTTTTGGTAAGTCTTTGGAATTACTTGATAATTTCTCTAAGTATGTTAAAGCAATGAAATTACATTAAAAATGCAATCTTTAAAATCTCAGAATTTGCATTGCTCTTCAAAAAATACAGTACAAAGTACATTAAGGATTTTTAAAAAACATAATTGGGTTCCAGTTAATTGAGATTAGCCAGTAATAGGAATTTAAAATTGATTTGTCAGTTTTAACTTTATGATTCTTCTAGGGTACTGTTTAAGGGAATACTATTTCCAAAAAGTTCAGATCACTATAGGAAAAAAATTAAGATCAGAAAATAAAATGACAGATTAAAAAAGAAACTTACTGAGGAAGTTGAGATTTTTTGCATATTGTATCATTTGTGAAAATAATTTTCTTAATTTGCTAATTGTGAGTCTGACAGTTATGTAATATTAACTTGAAAGGTATTTTTTCAGACTAAGAAGGTAAAATATGTGAAAAATGATCGTCTTACTAACAAAATGTGAATGAATAGATCAGAGTGGAGGATAAATGCCTAAGAGGCCAAAAGAATGCACACTTATGAAAATACTTGGCTGTAAACATTTAAAAGGTTCAGAGAGCAGCTATGTTTACTCCCTTGGAGAATACTATACAGTAGAAAATCCCTTGACTGTCAATCAGTAAACCTGGGCTCTACTCGCAGTCTTATACTAAGGATGTGTTCCTCATCAGGTAACTTCTCCACTCTGAGCCTTGGTTTACTTAGTCTATTATAAAAACTTTGGGATGGATAGCTCCAATTTTTTTCCTACTCAAACACTGTATAATTTTTAGAAAATTAAAGATTCTTTTCAAGTATGCAACTTGGAATCAAGATTGGCTATGAAGTTGCAATACACCTGTTGTTAAAAAGATTGCTGCTTGTTTAAGTGGCTCAGTTTTGTGGCAATAGGGTATTTATTTATTTTTTTCTTAAAGCACTTGTGTATCTTAACACCACTACCACCACCTCTATTGTCCATGCACACCAGTATTGGCATTATATTAAATAGAAATGAAGATCACATGGAGGGTTAGCAACAGGGGAGTGGGAGAAGAAGAAGGGGGGAGAAGGTACAGAAAATAAGTAGCATAGACGGTAGGTAGAAAATAGGGGGGAGGGCAAGAATAGTAGGGGAAATATAGAATCTAAAGAACTTGAGACACGTGGTCATAAACTAAAGGGGGGAATGGTCGGGGAGGGGTGTGCAGGGTGGAGGGGAACGGAGGGGGGAATAGAACAAATGTAATGGCATAATCAATAAAATTTAGAAAAAAAGAAAAAAAAAAAGGATAGAGATGTGATACTAAGATAAATAAATAAATAAATAAATAAATAAATAAATAGATAGATAGATTCGAGTAGGAGTTTAGTTAGTAGTCTCATCTTCCTCCTTGATAAAAATGCTTAACTTTGGGATGCTTCTATGTTGCTCCTCTGTCAGTCTTTTGAAGTTCAGCAAAATGATGTTTTCTGCCTCTTGCAAGGTGGTCATTCAAGGTCAAGCATCTCTCTGTAACTTCGAACCAGCCAAGTGCATAACTCGATGACTTCAGACTCCAGTGCTTTCAATCTGCCAACCTTCATGAGCATCAAGTTCATGTTAAAGAGTTTAAAATATATTCTCCTTCATCTACATATCACAGCAATAACAACCTGGGCACAGGACAGTTCCTGGGAGCAAATAACCACTTGGAGTTAATGATCTGAGGGGCAGCTGAAGGACCATTGACTCTTCCTAGTCATTCCTTTATCCCTATAAAACACCTATTTTTGAGATGCCAAATGCTTTCAATAATTTTTCTGTCTCACATCAGATTAAGTAGTGGTCATAAATAATAGCATTTAATACATAATAATGAGATGTGGTAATGCAATAAAATGTCAACAATTCTAATACTGTACAAAGATGGCCAGTCTGATCAACACCCCCCCAAAAACAGTGGTAAATGAAGTTCATGAATCATAATATTTTAAAAGTGACTCTTCCTTTATTGATTTGAAATGAATATAAGTAAGAATTCATATGGTTTAGAGGAACAGTTCCCTTTCTTTTGCTCCTTATTCCACTGACAAGTGATCTATTTTAGAAATAATAAAAAATGCCTCTGATATCTATTTCAAATGGCTTTTAATACAGTATATGTTCAGCTCCCCCCTCCCTTTTTAGCAATCGATTCAGTTTCAGGATATATACGGCTCTGAACTAACAAATACAATTCTCTGCTTTTTTCCAGAGGAAGCATTTTTAATTTCTTTATCACTGTGACAAACATTAGTAAGTCTCTACAGTGTGCCAGGCACAGTGCTAGGTGCTAGGGAAACAAAAGTCAATAAGGGACAGTGTTCCTAATCCCAAACTCATGGTAGAGAGGGGAGGACTGATCTATATACAAAGAAATAAAATAATCAAGTGTTGTGGGTATGGGATGCATATGAATTTATTTACTCATGGCATTCATGTTATTTTTTTAATTAATAAAAATTCATATATGAAAACTTTCTCTGTAGGGCAGTGAGATATATAATCTCAAATAGCTCCCACTCAGAAAATACACAGGAATCACTGGTCATGGTAGGCAGAATGTCCCCCACCTCCCCGCCAAAAATGTCCATGTCTTCTTAATACCTAGAATCTACGAATATGTTGCATCACATAGCAAAGGAAAACTAAGATTGCAGTTGGAGCCCTGATTGGTGTGTCTCAGTTCCACAAAGCCAAAGGTCACAGGTTTCATTCCTGGTCAAGGCCAGGGCACATGCCTGGGTTGCGAGTATGGACCCTGACTGGAGCATGTAGGAGAGGCGACTGAAAGCTGTTTCTCTCCCTCTCTTTCTTCCTCCCTTCTCCTGTCTCTAAAAATATATAAATGAAATCTTAAAAAAAAGATTGCAGATGGAATTAAGGTTGCTATTCAGCTGACCTTAAGATACAGAGATTATCCTGATTATCTGGGTGAACTCAATATAATCACAAGGGTCCTAAAAAGAGAAAGAGGGAGGCAGAAAAGAGAATCAAAGAGGTGACAGCATGAAAACTTGGGCCAACATTGATGGCTTTGAATCCAGTGGTCATGAGTCAAGGAATGAGAGTAGCTTCTACAAGCTGGAAAGGTCAAGGGAAGGGATTATTCCCTAAAACCCAAACGTCTAGAAAGAAGTATAGTCCTGCTGACACCTTGATTTTAGCCCATCAGGACCCATTTCAGCCCTGGCTGGTGTGGCTCAGTGGATTGAGTGCCAGCTTGCGAATCAAAGGTTGGATTCCCAGTCAGGGCACAGGCCTGGGTTGCAGGCCAGGTCTTCAGTAGGGGGT